GTGATCACCCAGTGGAGATGCTTGAGTCCTGTGCACAGCCCAAGGAGGCCTCCCCTTGTGGTTCTGACTACATGCTCGCTCATCCTCCATGCACCCCTGTGAATGTCCCTCCAGCAATATGACACCCCTCCTCATTCTGAGACGCTCACAGCTTCGCGGGTGCCTGAGCCTGTGTGGAACACACACTCCGCCAGAGCAGGGGCTCTGTCCATCCTGACCTCTGGGATGGAGGCTGACACTTGGTGGGTAGGGTCCCCCAGTGGATGCAGGAACTCTAAAAGTTCTGACATTTTGTTCTGATGGTTGTTTTTGTTTTTTTATGGTTCATTTTTTGAGACAGGTCTCACTCTGTGGCCCAGGCTGGAGTGCAGTGTTGCAATCACTGCTCACTGCGGCCTCCAACTTCTGGACTCACGCAGTCCTCCCAACTCAGCCTCTTAAGTAGCTGGGACCACAGGCACGTGCCACCACGCTCTGCTATTTTTTTAAAAAAGTTTTTTGTAGAGACGAAGTCTTGCTATGTTCCCCAGGCTGGTCTCGAATTCCTGGCCTCCACTGATCCTTCTATCTCAGCCTCCCAAAGTACTGGGATTACAGGCATAAGCCATCATGCCCGGCCCTGATTGTTGTTTTGAACTGATATTTTTCTAAAATAAATTTCTTAAAAACGAAAGTATAATAACAAGAGAAATAAGCAGTCAGCTTTGCAAACTCCTACAAGGCAGGTGTGCCCATAAGCCTGCCCCACAGACCCCAGGAAACAAGATCACCAAGACAGAAGCCCTTGTACCTTTACTGAGGCTCTGCCTTCCTCCCTCCAGAGTATTGTAATCTTAACTGTAACACCAAGTGTTGCTTTTCACTGCTTTTGGATCTTATGTAACAATCCTACAGCTGTATTCCTTTGTGACTTTGATCAGTTCAATTCCAAAGTTGATCCTAGCATGGATATGCCTCTTAGAACCCTGTCTATTTCACCCATGGGTGCCAGCCACCCTGTCTCCATCCAAAAGCATCAGCTCAAACCAGTGCAAAGGCTATTTCACAGTTAGCTTTAGGGAGCCCTCTCAGTAGCCTCCGTGCTCCCAGCTCTGGGTTGGATCACAGAGGTAGGAGTTCTGGAGCTGATCATGGCAAGTTTCTAACCACCCTAGGCCTAGGTGTGGTCCTGCTGGCAGGAATACTGACGAGTAAGCCCTGAGGCAGGTCACGCTGGGTGCAGAAGTCCCAGGTGGGTAGGGTGGCAGGGTGAGCCATGGGCAGGTGGGCCTGTGAACAAACCCTCCTGAGGATATGATCAGGTTGTAAATGGAACCATCACTTTTTGGGTAATGTGAGTCAACCCTTAAGCCTATGTTAACCACTGAAAAGAGAATTAACCTTAGGGGCCTTGCAGGGCTCCAGCTGGTGTCATAAAGTAGTAACAAAAAACTGCTCTTCAGTAGCTTGAGGGAAAATCTTTGAAAAATACCTCCCTGGGAGCAGCTTCCCCATCTCAAAAGACGTAGCATAGTGCTTTTACAACACCTCGCCTGCACGATTTTCTAAGTGGAGTTGCAGTATCAAGGCCAGACCTCAGCCCAGAACCACTCTCCGCTGAGCTCAGAGCTGTGCAGTCTGAGCGTTTCAAAAACATCAACTGGATTCTGCCAGCAGAAACAGTGCTTGATCATCGCTCCCTGTTATCTGTGGCAAAGTTCTGACTATTCATGATCATAAGCTGAATATGAGAGGAGATCCAGTACACAAATGTTTTGCCCATGTGAAAATAAGAGCTCAGGTTGCTCTATTCGATTTTAAATTATTGCAGAGAAAAAAGGTAAATACTCTCATGAGAGAGCTTTTTGTCAAAAGTACTTATGTCTTTCCTCAAGCTACCCTTACAAAGTACTGTATGTGACAAAATTAAGTTTATTACAGCAAATGAGTACAAGAAAGCAGGAGAGAACTACACAGAGTTAGGGTAATCTACAGTTGGAGATGCAACACACGACACTGTGGCTTTGCTGGGGAGGCCGGTGCCCTTTTATTCCAAGGCAGGGAGGAATCTTACCGTGGATTTATGAATTTGGTGGATTCCCAAAGCAGTAAAAATGGCAAATGTGGGTGATGCCACGAGTAGTTACTAGATTGATCCCAGGAGTTAAAGATCAGTCTGCGCAACATGGCAACATCCTGTCTCTACAAAAAATACAAAATAGCTGGGTGTGGTGGTGCATGCCTATAGTCCCAGACACTCGAGAGGATCACCTGAGGTCAATACTGCAGTAAGCAGGGATTGTGCCACTGCACTCCAGCCTAGGCAACAGTGAGGCCCTGTCTCAAAAAACACAAATAAAAACAAAAACAAACCGTGGTCAGTATACATGTGGTGTGCTTTTGATGCTGTTTATTCACTCCTAATACACAGCAGGGATAATTTCTGCTGGCTGCACAATTGGCCTGAAGTCATACTGTCATTCTGATGGTATACCTATTTAATTATCATCACCAACAATAATAGGAAGCCATGAACACTTTGGCTCCTATCTTTTTAGCAAAAAACAAAAAACAAAACACACACAAACAAAAAAACAACTAATGAGAGGCAGGAGGGGCTATAGAAAGCATTCTCACTTTCCTTCTTGGCAATGCTACATCTACAAGCTTTGCACAGAAGTGCACAGAAGTTACTGCATGATGGTGAGACCTGGTCAGGGGGTGCCTCCTCTTCTATTGGATGCAGCTCAATAGGGCAAGGGAAAACTCATGCTGATATAACAAGATCCCTTTGTCCAACAAAAACTTCTAGGTGAGCATGGATAAAGAGATCAAAACAAAAAACATATACTAACCAAGGGGATATTTCTCCCTCATGACGGGGATACTGATCCCCAAGGACCTTTTGGCTATGAAGATCAACTGCTATACTCAATACACGAGTTCAGAACATCATTGTATCTGTAGTTTTACAATACCTAATGCTTAACAGGAATGTTTCCCAAGAACTGCCTGCCTGACCTGAGACCAAGCCTATGGGAGAGCCGACACTCTACAGAACAGGATCTGACCTACTCAGCACAGGCCTAGAGGGCAAAATGAGAGCCAAAGGAAGGAAGTTAAAGAAATGTAAAATTCTGACTCTATTTAAGGAAGAGCTTTCTAACAATCTGTTTTCTCCAAAAATGGGATTGGCCTACTCGAGCCGTCGCTGAGCATCGTTGCTGAGCTCCAGCAGGGCTGGATGGCCATCTGTCGGGGACGGGCGCGGGCCCAGCACCGGCTCCAGGATGGGCGGCTGGCTCAGTCTGAGAGCCTGGGAGTACAGGCATTGGCTGAACCGATCACAGCTCCCGAAAAAACTAAGCATGCTGGATGGAAGATGTGGTTCATAGTTTTTAATTTGTGGTTTTGTCTTTTCTCCTTCTAAAACACTGAGGAAGAAAAATGACAAGGTTTTCAAGGGAATTTCCAGGTCACCCAGAGAACTCGCCTGGCCTTGTTCTACTTCCTACCAGTCTCTGAGCATTTCATGCTTTACTGGAATCTTGCGCGCGCACACACACACACACACACACAGAAGACACGACAAGTCAACAGTGTAACAATGTTTAGCATCACTAAAAAGAAGGTACTTTGGTGAAAGGCAGACATTGGAAAAATAAAGCTCAGGGCAATCTTCAAGTTCTTCTCTATTCATGCCACCCTCTTTTTCTGGTAACCACAGTCAATTAAGAGTTATAAGCATAAAACTGTTTCTTTCAAGTGGCATGCTTATGTGGGGGGGAAACAGATGAAAGGAAGGCAGCTCAGTGGAGGATCATATTACTAATGAAAAATGAAATTTCTCCATCAGGCTGAGAATCTACGATTCCCGGTGAGCTGGTATGATTCGTACAAAGTTCTGTGTCTCACTTGTCTCTCCAAATCATGGTAATAACCTAATCCCTACACAAAAACGCTACCTAATACACGAAGGCTTTCAATGATTTTGCAGAGGGAGTTTAGACTTTTCAAGATGGCACAAAAGGAAAGATGAACATTTTGCAACACCCACCACGTTTGGTGTATAATTTTACTTTCAGTTTTCCCACGTATTTCTCATTCTCCGTTCCCCAAAAGAAAACAAATCCTCGCTGGAAAATTTTTTAAAACCCCAAGTAAATGTGACACAGGTGATAATATTAACTCATTTCAATAGCGAGCCCTTACGTGATAACCTGCAGTCCTGGATACGGAGAATATTCTACTCATAAGAAGGTAACAACAATGTTTTAAATGTCAGCTCAGATGAGTCATTCTTCAAAATAGTCCTCTCAATTGTTTTCTAAGGTAATCTGAGGCAGTAAATACTGTCAGTCAGTCCCGTGTGCATGCGCATGCAAAGGCAAGACTGGATACTATCAACTTTGTGTAACTCCAGGAGGGCCCTGCCCATATCCTGACACCTGGGAAAACGAGAGGCACATGGGAAGAGAGCCAGACAACGGACAACAGTATGGCTGAACTGGGTCCCCACCCTGGAGCGGCCTCTGATGTCACACAGCTGGCTCCTTAGCTAACAGTACCCGGAACTGTGGTGTGACGTAGCATCCATTTCACAGTGGGAAAAAGTGCTTTGGCTGTCCCCTGCTCTAGGCATGTAGGCCAAACGGACAGGATTTTATAAGAGAGAAAGAACTTCATGTCACGACACTGGCAGATCTGGGTAGACTTAGAGGTGAGAGTTCCAAGTCAGGGTCCTCTAAAGTTTTGATACAAGGAGATACCTGTGCAGGGGTCCCAGGCACACAGAAGTGTCTCCATACACAAGACCCCAAACTCCAGAATCTCCAGGAAATGACAAACATCCTCTTTCTCCATTTGCAACTCTTAATTCTCAGATTTTTGAAAAAGACATCTACGAAGATGTTAACATTTAAAACAGACTTTTTTTTTTGAAAAAGCAAACTAACTAGAAAGATGAACAGTGTCCCTTGAAATGCACAAGGTCTCCTCTCTCCAAAGGGTGGAATACTCACCTAGTGTGTCCTTCAGGTTCTTCACCAGGGAGCCCTTCTTCAGGCTGTTCTTCCGCTCCACGTAGTTGGACGGCACATAGCCCGTCCTGTTGGCCGCATTCCTCACTCGCCACCACGTCTTGGAGTCGTCCAGCAACCACAGCCGCTCGTTCTTCTTGATGTCCAGCTCCTGGTCCTGCTGGGCGGTGTAGTCCCACTTGGCTATCACAATAACTTCTTCTGTCATTTTCATGGAGTCTTTCTGCCAGCAAAACATTTGGAGATGCTCATTAGAGAACTACCCGGACACTTCATCCTTTGCACCAACCTGAAAAATTAGGCACTGACAGCTTTTGTTACAACTCTGCAACCGATTTTCTCCTGGGTCTTGAAATGCTCGACTTTAAAATAACCTTCTTTCAACAAGCTTTAGTATTTGGTTTAGAAACAGCAACCTTATAAAACAAATCCTATGTCACTGTTCGCTGCACATGGGGAAATCTGACCCTCTAACAAAAACAAACTTGAAAAAAATTCTAAATAACATTATGATTAAATGAGTCCATTTCATTAAGTAACACTGCCTCCTGATAACTGTTAGGTTTACACTCATTTTCTCAGGATATGCTGTGTCTTATAAACATATTTAATACATGCAACATAACCAAATTACTCCTATAAATTAAAATTAACATTTTACTAATACAAGGTGATATCCTGGATTGGATCATGAAACCATAAAAGAAAATTAGTGGAAATACTAGTGAAATAAAAATAAAGTATAATAATAATAACAATAATAATAAATAATTATCAATCTCTTAGTTTGGACAACACACCAGTAAGATGTTACGGTATTTACCTAAGATGTTAACACAATGAGAAACCAGGCAAAGGGTACATGGGAATGTTCTGTACTATGTTGGAAACTTTTTTATAAATATAAAATTCTTCCCCAAAACTTTCATTCACACAAAAACCTGCCCAGGGACGTCTGTAGCAGCTTTATTCATAATTGTTCAAACTTGGAAGCAAACAAAATGTCCTTTAGTAAGTGAAAGATAAACTGTGGTACATTCAGACAATGAAATATTATTCGGTACCAAAAAGAAATGAGCTATCAAGCCATGAAAAGACATGAAGGAATCTTAAAGGCATATTGCTAGGTGAAAGAAGCCAATCTGAAAAGGCTACACATGGTGTGATCCTGACAGTTTATCCTTAACCAAACTTCAGCCAGACTCCTTTGAACCTTCTTCCCATTAGGCCTTGACTTTTGTACTTCCGCGTCCATCTTTGCATTGCCTAATTTTCGCAAGACTCTCCTGCTACGCTGCTCTAGCTGGAATCCTCCACCCTCAACATCTGATCAGCTTCCTCATCCTCTACCAACCCCCAAGTGACAGCGGATCACTCTGTCCTGCCTTCAGAAGAATCCTGTTCGGTCAGTTTAACCAGAATCCTCACCCTCCACCCCGATGTTTCCTCTTAGTAATTTTCCATCAGCCAACTCCCTTATTTTGCTCCTTGCCTATAAATGCCCACTCTTTCTTGTTGTATCAATATTAGGAGTCAAACCCAATCTCTTTCTTGACGCAAAACCCTCTGAATAAAGTCTGCCTTACTGTTCTCAACAAATGTCATGAATAACTTTTTTCTTTAAAACGGTATGACATTCTGGAAAAGACAAATCTATGGAGAGAGTAAGAAAATAAGCGCTTGCCTGGGGCAAGAGGGAAGGGAGGGGGGCAAGGGTGAAGCACAGGATTTTTAGGGTTGTGAAACTACTCTGTTCAATACTATAATGGCGGACACCTGTCATTATACATTTGTTAAAATCTATAAAATGTGGAGCATCAAAAGTGAACATAACATATGAAAAGTTTATCAAAACAATAAATAAATGTGTATATTATGTATCTAGAGGAGTCAATTTTGTAAGTAATAAATAGAAAAAGTATGGCTGAATAAATAAAATAATCAACTATTTTAGCAACTCTGTACTTCTTAGGTAGAAGATGCACCAGTAGTCTTTAAGCAGAAAAATTCAATATTCAGTCCTTAAACTAACTAGACATTTCTCCAAATTAGGGAGAAATGAATGGTGAAAAGACTCTGGACTAAAATCCCCTTCCTCCCTGACAGAAGTTCTCATTATTTTATAGGGATGACTTTAGGATTACAGGGGTCCTATGCATATTGACTCCAGGGAAACATAAATACCATTTTTAAATAAGTGTTTTCTACTAGATGCTAACAATGTTTTATAAATAATACATGTTTCTTTCATGAATTAACTTCCAAATTTAAAGATAACAAACCTTTTGGGAAGGAGGAAAGCCTCTGCATAATGTATACAATATTCAAGAGGATAAAGTTTACATAAAGCTCCTATCAGAACTGGAGACAATTTTGTTATCCAATTTCAGAAAATCTCAAGTGCATACCATGTGGAACTCACTAACCTGAGCTTTAAGTCAGATTAGACTTTTGAAAGTCATAAAGGCAGATTTTCTAAGTAACAACAAGAAGAGCAATAGCAGTAACAGGAATGGAATATTCAGAGAATACTCCATCTGAATATCACATTTCTTTCTTTTCTTTCTCTCTTTCTTTCTCTCTTTCTCTCTTTCTCTCTTTCTCTCTTTCTCTCTTTCTCTCTTTCTTTCTTTCTTTCTTGAGACGGAGTCTGGCTCTGTTGCCCAGGCTGGAGTGCAGTGGTGCAATCTCGGCTCACTGCAAGCTCCGCCTCCCGGGTTTACGCCATTCTCCTGCCTCAGCCTCCCGTGTAGCTGGGACTACAGGCGCCCGCTACGGCACCCAGCTAATTTTTTGCATTTTTAGTAGAGATGGGTTTCACCGTGTTAGTCAGGATGGTCTCGATCTCCTGACCTCGTGATCCGCCCATCTCGGCCTCCCAAAGTGCTGGGATTATAGGCGTGAGTCACCGCGCCCGGCCCCACATTTCTTTCTTAATTACACAATTTCCACAAGGTTTTAACAAGAGCAGCCCATTGCTTAAGACCAGTCAAGATCTCGCCAATCAAAGTTGTTTATTAATATTTCCTACTGCATGAAGGGCAGTTAAGTAAGGAGCTGGCTGGGCAGGATCTATTTTCATGCACACCGAACATCACACAGAAGCTTTAAAAATTCCACTGCCTGAACCCTACTGCAAGCCAATTATACCAGTATCTTTATGAAAGAGGCCTGAGCATCCAAGGAGTTTTACATCTTCCCATGTAATTCTTCTGAGTCTTAGATGGGAAAGACCAAGTGAGAGAACCGAGCCACAAACAATGCCCCACAGAGCTTCCCCTGGGCCGCAACCCTGAGCTCTGCGAAATGCAATGGGAAGTAAAAGTTGAGCAGTGATACGCACCTGCCACAAGCCAAGGCGTTTCATCTTGGGAAAACCCACCTTTCAGGGAGGTGTCCTCCTTCAGGAGACTGTGTCACAGAGATTGAGGGCCTTGTTTAATGGCAGTCAGGATTTGAGCCCAAGCCTGTGGACCGCCCCCTCCCCGACCCGCCCAACCGTCCGACGCGTGGGCTGCATTTTGATAGGCTTATTCCAACTCAAGAATTCTAAGATTCTAGGACACGTGAAAATTAAAAGTTCCCATACAACTAGGAAATGACTGCCTATTGGTTGGCCATAGCAATGGGTTTAACCCTATTTTAATGGGTCGATAACCACCCCCATCAATTAAAAAAAAACCAAACCAAATTAAACCAAAACAAAACCGAACCTGCTTCTGAAGACCAGGCAATCGACGCCCACCAATCAACAACCACCTCATATTAGAGGGCCAGCCGATAAACGACCACTTCACGCCAGTGAAATCTGTCAATCAACTAAGCCACACCAGACGGCCAGCCAATCAACAACTGCCTCACTGCAGGGAGCCTGCTTCAGAGGGACAGCCAATCAATGACAGCCCCATTGGAGTAATCACGACTCAGTAGCTAAAGGTTAACCAATCCCTGAACACTTCCGCTTCTGGAACTCCAGGAGCACTGGAAGCCACACTTCCCAAGACCCTTAGAAAACTCAGTTCCGGCCGGGCGCGGTGGCTCACGCCTGTAATCCCAGCACTTTGGGAGCCCGAGGTAGGCGGATCACGAGGTCAGGAGATGGAAACCATCCTGACTAACACGGTGAAACCTGTCTCTAATACAAAAAAATTAGCCGCGGGTGGTGGCACGCTCCTGTAGTCCCAGCTACTCGGGAGGTTGAAGCAGGAGAATCACTGGAACCCGGGAGGTGGAGCTTGCAGTGAGCCGAGATCGCGCCACTGCACTCCAGCTTGGGCAACAGAGCGAGACTCCGTCTCAAAAAAAGGAAGGAAAAAAAAAAAAAAAAAAAAGGAAAGAAAAGACAGGTCAGCTCTGTAGCGGTCACTGACCTAGCATAGCAGCCCGGGTTTCCTCAATGAAGGAGGCACCCCTTCAGTTTCTTGTTCTGAAGCTGAGTTGTGGCAATGCACTGATACAGCAATAGCTCCCTCATTTACACAGCCAGGCTGGGCTGCTGCCCTCAGAGACCCCAAAACAAGTGGGAAGGAAGAGTGCCCCATCACCCTGCATCCTCACAGGCTTCAGTTTTTTCTCTCTTTGCCAACACGGGTTGGAAAGGCTGGCTGGAAGCCCATCTGGAGGGTCTTGTTGGCCAAGAGTTGAGGTTGCATCCCTTGGACGCTGTTTCTTAAAACCCAACAGGACCATGTGGTATTTTCAGTTAAGAGTAATTGGCTATGGTGTAGGAAGGATTAGAACAGAAAGAGACCGCAGATGAACCATTATTCTACAATAAAATTAGACATACAAACTGACAAATTTCCAATATGAAAAAGCCTCAACAGAAGAAAGTCTGAAAAAAAAAAAAATGCATTCCAACTAACTGACTACTGAAATTTTAAGTCAGAGATGGTATTCTGATTTAGTCTAGGCAAGACCATCACAGAAGTCTGATCCAAAGAACAATGCATGTTTTTCTCTCTAGCTTAGCAGTTCAAGGAAACCTAATTTTTGGCTTCATTACTACAGCTAGTTAAGTTTATTACTCAGGTCTACCCCAAAGAGAGAAGGGCCAAAAATTTGATATTATATAGCCAGATCACAGCTTGTACATCATGTGACCACTCTAAAACCCAGCTTAGCAAGACCCCCAAGTGATGCTGGAAAAACAGCTCTCAGAACCTCATGAGCCAAACTGTTTTTTCAAGTCTTAGGTGGGAATGGATTTAAAAACAAATAGGG